TGAGATCTTCAACTCTCATTTAGGTCGCGTAGGCCAAAAACCGCTCGAACTAAAATTCGAGTTTTGGGTCATGCACTGCTATGCCAAATCTTAGAAAATTCATAACTTCCTCATACGAAGTCAGATTTGGGCCTTATTTTTTTGTATGTTCTCGGTTCAACGTATACTATTAATTTTGTTTAGATCACTAAGGCTAAAAAGTCTTCTACCGTAAATTCACTATTTACGTCTCCCGGTGCTGTGCCGGTTTTGCCGTAAAGTCATCTAGTTCAAAACTCAAACCAACCTAAAAAAAAATGTTAACTTTTGTGATTATTTATTTTAGGGAAATCTGCGAAAAAGTCCCAAAGTTTTGGGTCAGTTTATGATCTACTCCTAAATTAAATTTCATTAATGAAAAAGGACAGGAAACCGACTATTATAATCACTTTAGCCCTCTTTTACCTTTTCAGCAGGTTACCTGCTGAGGTGTGCGCCAAATGGACTGTTGGGGGTGATGTGGCATGGCTGACGTGGCATGAACTTTCTTTTAAATTTAAAAAATAAGATTTTAGGGGATAAATGGGTGAGAGGGAATTGAACCCGTAACCTCCCTCTCTAAAACCAAGCTTTTAACCAATTGGACCACAATCCTTTTATACATTTCTTCATTCACGTCTATATATAATGTTTTAACTTATTAGTTGAATTTCTTTAATAAATGTGGCTCCCACTCATCCTTCTGTTCTTGTCCTTCACCACCAGTATTACCCTCATCGAGCCAATCCCCATTAAATCCCTCCAGGAACTCCATCGCCGACAACTCTTCTTCTCCGCCCATTGTCCCACTTCTCCAATCGTGTTGGACATCTCTACCCCTCTGTATTTCCGACGATTACACACCCAACAAGGCAAGGTTCTGAAACAAAATCGAATTTCAAGCTCTAAGGTTCATAATCAAAATTTTTAGTGTATTTTTATTTGTAAATCGTTGTACAGAAATCAAATATTGGGTTGTTTGTTGATGCAAAATCAAACACTCATCTAAATTTAACTGTCTGGTGATTTTTTTTTGTGGGTTTTCTGGCAGGTTAGGGCATAAAAGGGCAAGAGATTAACGATTTTTGTTTCTGGCAAGATCAGGTCTTCAAATCACAATTCCTTAGAACTGCAGAGATTTGGTGGGTGGTGATAGTGTAGTAGACTGACGGTCTCACAAGCACATGTGATTTTTGCGTCGATTTTCTGGTAGGCTAAGGTTTAGAAGTGTAAGAGCGGCGATCTTGTTGACGATAACAGATCCTCAAATCACCGACGATATCAGGGTGGGCGGTGGTGGTGCAAAAGACCGTCGATCTCTTTCGTGGCTGTCTAGTGTTTTCCATCATGAGTGTGGCGTCGGCCCAGTAGGTTCCGGCCAAATAGGTGTGGTGTACCTATGGTTTCCGGTAATATATGGAAGGGAAGAGGGTTACAGTAAGGTGCTTAGAGGGTGAGGGACATGGATATTGGGGCCCACATATATTATTAAAAAAATTAGTAAGTTAATAATGATAATAAAAACATTTAAAATAAAAAAGGGTAAAAATGCCACATCAACTGTCATTTCAGCCCATCAATCCATTTGGCATGCCACTTCATCAAGTTACCTACTGAAAAGGTAAAATAGGGTTAAAGTGATTACAATAGCCGGTTTCTTGTCATTTTTTATTAATGAAATTTAATTTAGGACTAAATCATAAACTGACCCAAAACTTTGGGACTTTTTTGCAGATTTCCCTTTATTTTATAAAAGTTGTCGCACTCAACAAAATTTATGAAAGAATTTAACCGTATAAATATCTTATTGTTAACTGAAATATTAAATTCTTACAACATCATAATAAAAAATACGAAAAATTAAGTGGGAAAAAGTGCATATTTCAGGTGAAAAAATTGGAGCATTCAAATTTGACTTAAAACTTGAATTTGCAATTAGTCAAAATTTAAATGAAATCTTTCTTTTGCCTTCCCGCGGGTTTCAAATTTCCCCCAAATATGTTCTTTATCTTCTTCCCGGGTTTCTTTCTTCAAATCATTCCTTTTAAGAAAAAACCCAATTCACTATTCTTTCAATCTCCATCAATCTCTTTCCCTTCGATTCAAACCCAACAACAATGGAGAACAGGTTTCATAGCTTGCCTCCTCACAAAAGATTCAGGGCAATACACCCAGTAAGCCCAATTAATCATCAAGAATCCAATACGCCGATTTATTCAAGTCTTCCGGCGAAAAAGAGAAAAGAATCCAGAGACCCACCGTCGTTTCTTACCAGTCCCGATGTCACCATCTCCGCCTCCACCGCCACCTACTGTTTACCCGCCAAAAAACGAATCTGTGCCGTTCACCCGGATTTTCTTCCCCCGAAACCCAGTTCTCCGTTTGATCTCAATCTCGAGTATAACCCGATACTGGAAGAAGACATCGCTTCTGTCACTGTAAATGTTTCAAAGAAAGACGAAGAAATTGATTATATTAGAGTGAAAAAGGGAGAAGAACAAGAAGATGAAGATGGGATTCTATGTGCTGTATGTCAAAGCACAGACGGAGACCCATCAGATCCGATCGTATTTTGCGATGGTTGTGATCTAATGGTTCACACCACTTGCTATGGTAATCCCCTCATTAATGGTGTTCCTGAAGGTGATTGGTTTTGTTCTCAATGCCAAATCACTGATAAAAACAAGGATTCATCTTGTTGCCTTTGTCCCTTCAATGGTGGAGCTTTGAAGCCAACCAACAATGGCCTCTGGGCTCATATTGTATGTGCATTGTTCATCCCCGAAGTGTTTTTCCATGACCCAGAAGGTCGAGAAGGGATTGATTGTTCAAAAGTTCCATTAAGAAGATGGGGAAAGAAGTGTTATGTTTGCAGGAAAACAAAGGGGTGTGCCATTGATTGCTCTGAGGAAAACTGTGGTTTGAGTTTTCATGTGACTTGTGGATTGAAAGAAGATCTGTGTATTGAGTATAAGGAAGGGAGAAACAAAGGCGCCATTGTTGCTGGATTCTGTAAAAGCCATAGTGATTTGTGGATAAAGGTAATAAACCAACAATTTCTTTAGTAGATTTGATTATTTGTATTGATATATTATGACATGTTATTGGATATTGATTTGATTGCAGCAACAAGGAACAGGGAAATACAAGATTGTTGCAAGAAATGAAGATTGATAGTCTTATTTTTTTTGAGTCTTTGTATGGAAAGATTTGTGTTTAGCTTCTTAGTGTTTTTGATAGTCAATAATAGGTCTAGAAGTTTGAACTTTTGGTTTTATGTAATTTTTAGAGTAATTTAGATTCTATTTTTATTGACATTTTCTAGTTTCTACATATTTCGTAATGTAACATCCAAATATTATTATACTAATGACTCAAAAAAATAAATGAAAATATTAGATAAATACTATGCTGGATCAAGAAGACAAAAAAACTAAAATAGGGTTTAAGGTGGAAAATTCAAAAGACCAAAGTTTGTATTGTACATAATAATTTTTTTCTATACATAATAATTTGTATTTTAAAATATTTTTATTGTATAATTCTATAAAATATAAATTGTTGTGTATGGAGAAAAAATGTTATCTACGAATTATTATTTGTTGACTTTTAAAGAATATAACTTGTATGAGCAATATATGAAGTTTCAAAAAATGCAAAATCGCTATTAAGTTGAAATTGCATTTTAAAAGTCCAATTATGATTTTAATGATTATTTGGGTTGTTTTCTTAGTTTTTTGCTATTACTTGACAAATGATTAACGATTTTGTCTAAATATTTTTTTAAAGACTAATATTATGTAATCGTAAATGAAATATGCGTATCAAAGTATTACTTTACATGAAAATTTAATATACCCATATTGTCATTTGGGTTTGTCATGAAGAACTTAATATGGGCCGATCCACAAAATACATGGTGAGAATTCTGCCATTTGTCAATTTCATCTCCACACCATCAAACTAATATTCACATTTCATCAAAAGGCCCAGAAAAAAAGAAAGATTGTCTATTCTTCTTTGTTAAGAGTTTGACTTTAATGGCTTCCCATTTCTTGACTCCCAGCAATTTCAGACTCCAACTTCTCATTTCATCAAAACCCCAATTCAATTCACATCTCAAATCATCTAATCGGTTTCAATTAAGCAAACCCACAACCAGATTTTCTTCATCGATTCGCTCTATGGGTTCTTCATCTTCATCATCTCAGAAACCAGACACCTCAACTCAAGGTCTCTTAGGTTTTTATATTATAGAATTAAGCCACCCGATTCTTCAATTTTCATAAACAGATTCACTTTTTGATCAATTGCAGAGACAGGAAACATGGATTTCAAATCTGTTAGCGATCAAGAATGGAAGAAGAAGCTTACTGGAGAACAGTTTTACGTAACTCGACAAAAGGGAACAGAAAGAGCCTTCTCTGGGTATTCATAACTCAATTTCTTCCATTAACGATTCATGGAGGCAACAATTTTCGAAGTTTTAACAAATTTATGTTGCAGGGAATACTGGAACACGAAAACCGCTGGGACTTACCATTGCATCTGCTGTGATACTCCATTATTCGAGTAAGTTGAGTAACAAATAGCAAAGTAGCAAACCATAAACTAAAGATTCTTCATTCTTGTTTTGTTTGAATTTGAAAATTGAAATGAATTTGTGGGTTTGATTGAAGGTCATCGACGAAGTTCGATAGTGGAACTGGTTGGCCTTCGTATTATGAACCAATAGGAAGCAACGTGAAGTCGAAGTTGGATTTGTCGATCATTTTCATGCCTCGACAGGAAGTTTTATGTGCTGCTTGTGATGCTCATCTTGGTCATGTCTTCGACGATGGTCCTCCGCCTACAGGAAAACGTTACTGCATCAATAGGTATTATCTCAATGTTGTCGACTTATTTGTGGTGTTTTTCAGAGAGAATTGTTGTCAGTTTTGGAGTAAATGTTTGTTGTTTTTGTAGTGCTTCCTTGAAGTTGAACCCGAAGTAGGAGGATCCTGTGTTAGGAACCAAGCAAAAACAGAAGTTGATAGAAGAATTTTGTTTTGGTATTGTAATATTGTGAATGTAACATGGCATGATGGGTAAATTGATGAACCAAATTGAATGTTTTATTGTTGGAAGTTTGGTATTATAAGAAGAATCCTTTGTGGGAGTTGTTGAGGAGGAAGATAGCAACTTGATAGGCATTAAAAGCCTTTGTCTTTAGATTATAATAAATCGATAAACTAAAGGGTTATTGACAGGGTATCCAACAAACTTATGTGTTTTGGTTTAAAATGTTTTTATTTTATTTATTTTATTTTATTATTATTTTTTCTAAATGTACAAATTCATATTTTTAGGGTTTAAAAGGTCCATTTGAGAAAAGTGAAGGGTCACCCGGTGAACCCCTTTCTAATCATCATGTTTAAAACTAACAAGATTCCACCTCATCAATTAAGTAGACACATCTCTTCAACAATTACGATCTCTCTCTCTCTCTCTCTCTCTCTCTCTCTCTCTCTCTCTCTTCAGGCTATAGGAAAACCCTAATCCCCCGTTTCATTCCACCAGTGACCCGTTCAATCATTCATGTTAAATGTGACTCGAACATTTGGAGCACTTAGAACTCAATGGAGTACTTGAGGTTCATGGAGCATGTGACAAAAGAACGGATCATCTGAGAAGGCTTTGGATCATCTGACAAAGGAACGGATCAAGTGTGAAAGGAACGAATCATCTAAAAGGGGGTTTGGAGCAACTTGGAGCGGCTTGGAGCATCTTGGAGCGACTTGGGGCAACTTGGGGCAACATGGAGAAAAATGGTCAAACATGTTGAGCCATGAAGACGTTGAGCCAAACGAAGATGTTGAGCTAAGCGAAGATGTTGAGCTAAGTGAAGATGTTTGATCATCATGGAAAAGTTGAGCCATCAAGGAGAAGTTGTGCCACCTTTGGGAGATGTTGAGCCAAGCATGAAGGATGTTGCACCATCCTTGCACAAGATGGGCCAACATCATACATGTTGCACCATCTTGGTGCAAGATATGCCATCTTGGTTTCTTGATGAGCCATGTATGCTATGAGGTCCTCTATGATGCTCAGAAGTTGGTGATACTCAAGGAATACACCATGTTGTACCACCATGATGGATGTTGGGCCAATAGTGTTCATGTTGTACCACTATGGCTCAAGGTGCTCCATTATGTGTGTTGTTGATGCTCATGGGTTGTATGACATTGATGAATGTTCCAAAAGATGCTGTATGGCGGAATATGATATGTTGTCACCTTTCATGGGCCTATGGGCAAATGGGTTTGGCCCATTAGGGTTTTAGGTCTGATCCCTCAAGTATAAATAAGGATACATGCTAAGTCATTTTGTGTCTTGTGTATCCATAGTGAGTAGGACGAATCTCTAGTGAATTGTACTTGTAACCTATGTTTGAGAACTCTGAAATAAAGAATACTCCCCTCCTGCCCGTAGACGTAGGTCACCTTAACCAAACCACATACATATTGTGTCTATGTGTGCTTTTGGTTTTACTTGTTATCCACATTACTTCCTAACAAGGGTCATCATAACTTGGCAAGTGGCATCAGATTTGTTTAGAGTCTTGACAAGTATCGTCCGATCTCCTAACAAGTGGTATCAGAGCTGCGGTTGGTGTTTTTTTTTATTGAAGATTGCATCTCACAAATTTTATTTGGAGAAGTTCAATGGTTTGAATGATTTCACTTTGTGGAAGGTGAAGATGAAGGCTCTTTTGGTTCAACAAGGATGTGCAACGACATTGGAAGGAGAATAAAAATTGCCAAAGGACATGGGTGTTGAAAGGAAGGTGGATATTCTCGCAAGAGCACATATCGCTATTCTTTTGAGTTTGACAGATGAAGTACTGAGAGAGGTCGTGGATCAAATGAGTGCATCTGGGCTTTGGGAGAAATTGCGTGACAAGTATCAGAACGATTCTCTAACGAACATGTATCAAAAGCGATGTTTGTATACTCTAAGATGTCGGAAAGCACCCAAGTGAAGGATCATCTGGATAACTTTAGTAGGATCATCTTGGATTTACAAGGTGTGAATGTAAAGATTGAAGATGAAGATCAAACACTTATCCACTTATGTGCACTATCGAATTCTTATGAGAATTTCGTTGATACCATGTTGTATGGTAGGACAACGATCACTGTGAATGATGTGAAGAATTCTTTGATGTCCAAGGAACTAAAAAGAAAAGTTTCAGTTGGAGAAGAAGTTTCCAGTTTCGGTTTGTTCGCAGGCAGAGGAAGAACATTAGATAGAGGTGGAGGTTACAAACGGAAGTCAGATTCTGAATCTAAAGCCAACATCAAATGTTATATGATGCGTGTTTTTATGTAACGTCCTAAAAGAAGTAATATTTTTTTTTCATTTGAACTCTATCAAATCATTCATCAATTGTTTCAAAATAACCACCAAGTCATAATATTCAAAACATCAGAGTACAATTATTCAGAATTCGGAAATCATAAGGGAAGGATGATGTGCCATCATGTCGAGCCCTTCCCTTTCGAATCGGAAGTACCTGAAACCATAAACATAAAATGTAATCACAAAGCTTAGCGACTTCCCCAAAGTACCACATACCAAAACATACGACTGGGCTTAACCCTGGGGCATAACCAACCTGATATACATATATGGGCCCCGCCCTGGGGTGTATTTCAACCCGATCAACACATATGGGCCCCGTACCTGGGGTATCTTTCAACCCGATCATACAATAGTGGGCCTCGCCCTGGGGTCTATTTCAACCCAAACATATGATAGTGGGCCTCACCCTAAGGTATATTTCAACCCAACATACAAACACACACCAACCACATGGCAACTATCATCCTAAATACACGATAATGGGTCGACATTGATGCTTTTGACCCATGGATACAGTGAGAAAACTCACCTCACTGACAGATGAGAAAACTGAATAGCACGCTGCTCCGAAATCAACTCTACCAGTCACCTTTATAAATTCAGTGACACAATCTCAAAATATAGATCAAAATACCCAAAATATCCCTAGGTCAACTTTGGTCAAAATCCAGGTCAAAGTCAACCGATTCAACTCACTGAGTATGCTGGACCTACTCAACACGTACGTGGGGCGTACTACATGCTTGATTCCCTTGACCACGTACGCACAACGCACCCTTTGGTACGCCCAACATATGCGACTGTTACTCATCTACTGCATTAAGAGCTTAATCATTAAGCTCTTTTGTCCAAACTTCAGATCTAGCCCTAAAAAGATGTCCTTAATCATAAAGTTTCCAACTTTATGATTTTGCATGGCTATTAAGTGCCCAACACTAAAACCCTAACTTCTTAACTCTTTAAGACAACCTAGATCATGCATGGAAAGAAACTAATGCCTAATATCATATTTTTATGGCTTAACACACCCTAGAACATCTGAAACGATAACTCAAACGTCTTGGAGAACTCCATACTCACAAGGATCAAGATTGGGACAAAAAGGTGCCAACTTTAAGCTAAAACTAGATCTAAATGAAATTGTAACATCCCAATTTTCGAGTCCAAAAATTTCTTTTTAATTAATTGAAACATAAAAACATTCACAAGAAATACCGTGAAAACACATCATCCCATAAAAAATGATCCATGTCTAAAAATCCAAGTCATAAAATAATAACATATCAGAGTACAATCCCAGAAACTCCATGCGGAAATCGTGTGTGTGTGTGTGTGATGCGATGCGATGCTACGCCGCCGGCTCATTCCCCTTAGACGAAGAGGTACCTGAAACCAAAATCGAAACCGTAAGCACAAAGCTTAGTGAGTTCCCCCATCATACCACATACCATACAATATCCTCGGTATCTTTCATCCGGTAATCATCGTCGATATCTTTCAACCGGTAATCCTCATCGGTATCTTTCAACCGGTAATCATCATCGGTATCTTTCAACAGGTAACCATCATCGGTATCTTTCAAACTTTACGTGCATGCATGGGACTTTGAGCTCACAAGGACATAAAATAAGCTCTAGTGTTGCATGGGGCCTTCCTTGGGTACAAAAGCAACCCAAATCTGCCTTGTGACTCTCCCCAAGTGCTAGATCCGAAGTCTTTACCACCAACCATGTTTGCAATCATGGTTGGCTACCTCATATGGCTTAAAAAGCCCTAAATCTCCCCAAAAAGGGATCTATCAAATGAAAGAGCAAGGTACAGACTTTATACCTCTCAAAGACTGCAAATGATGAACCAAACTCGAATCCTTCAGTTCCCTCTTGATCCCGTATAACATCTCGAAGGGAGGACGGTCAATACTCGCATGATAGCTATTATTATACTAGAACTCTGCCAACGGAAGGTAGGTATCCCAGCTACCTCCGAAGTCTAAAACACATGCCCGCAGCATATC